TGATTGATCCAACTGTGGAAATCTTTTCTTATTTTTTTTAATTTAAAGAATCACTGACAGGATATTTTTTATTTTTAATTAAAATAAATTTCATCAATAGTATTTATTAAATATAAGTACCGGTATATTTGTTTAATTTTATAGAATGTAAATTATTATTATTTTTATCAAAAAAATGTTTAGTAACTTAATCGTTCAAAATAAGAAAGTTCATTGACATTTTTTTAGATTTTTTTCATTATTTTACCATATTAACCAATTTTATAGGTCCTAAGATGGGGCGTTCAAAAAAACCGTTGGACCGTTTAAACTGGCCGAACCAAGTCAAACCGGACCATTTTTGGCGGTTTAAGCGGTCTGGCAATTGGTCTGATTTGGAAAATAGCAAAACCGGGCGGTCTGGTCTGCGGTCTGGACTTTTTTTGGGCAGTTTGGACTAAACCGACCGCCAAATACACACACACATGCATATATATATATATATATATATATATTAGTATTAACAAGTTCAACTTTTTTAACTTACGGGCTATGGCCTAAATATATCCTTAAGCCAAACACAAAGTCTAATATCTAACATAATTAAATCCAAATGAAGCGGCACCTAAAAAATCCAAAACCAGTAAATATATCGACAACATAACACATTGAAGGTCTCCAAATTTTGAAATCCCTCAAGAACTCTATCAATCTATCGATTTTGTTAAGAACTCAAGACTCAATAATTGAAGGTTGTAAAGTCGTGAATTTTGTTACTTGATATTTACAGTGGAGTTGTAACTTTGTTAATTTGTTTGTTTTCTAATATGTATTATATATATATATATATATATATATATATATATTTGTTTGGACTTTGGATTGCTTAGATTTTGGACTCAAGAACTACTTAATTATCAAATTTAATTGTTTAGATATTTTGTTTTGTCAAAATGGATATTTAATATAAAATTCTAAAGACTCAAACTGCCTAAACCGGTCAGACCATGCCGCCTTTTCGTGGTCTGGTTTGACCGGTCTAGACACTTGATATCAAATCGCTCGGTTTGAAAAAATTTATAAACCGTCATTACGGTTTGGTTTGTGGTCTGAGGGGTTAAACCGTCCAAACCTGATCGCAAACACCCCTAGTCATAAGGATGTATCTAACATGTTTTAGAAAATTTAGAAAGTTATTTAACAAATTTTGGAATATCTAAGGACATATTTGTTCCAAAAAATTGTTCAAAGACCTAATCATTTCAAATAGTATGATTTATTGGGTTTTTATTTAGATTTTTTCCAATTAGATTCAAAAATAGGATTTTTTTTTATTCAATTGTTCCATTTTTATCATTTTTTAACCTAAATTCACTTTTTAATCAATATTCAGAAAGTGGAGTTTTTAGGCAAGGAAAAATAAAAATCCTCACATAGAGTGTGGATTCTACTTTTTTTTTTTGAAAGACAAAAAAGGAAGGACAAGGAGGAGAGCTTCGGCATGGTCATCACCCTCACCAAGCCAACCAATAAAATTAAACAAAACGATCCAGCAAGAAGCTAGACACAAGAGGAATCAAGAATCCACAATAACAAACGAAAACAAAAAGAAGCAAAAAGAGACATCCCCAAACTAAAGCCAAAGCAAAACCCAAGTCTGAGACAAGCAAGTAGACTAAACAAGGTAAGGAGAAGAAGACCAACTATCCCAATTAAGATGGAACTTATGATTCCTGTTCCCCATCCAAAGCTTGGAAAAATTTTGAACACCTGGGAATGGGTCTTCACCTCTCTTCTTAGCTTCCGCATCATCCTTAGCATGAAAAATTTCATTCCGCCACTTCCAAAGTTGCCAAAGCGCCACGACGCACACTGATAAGAAAATCACTCCAACCTTACGATGAGTACCTACTTGTTTGATCAACATTGTAAAATCAGACACCGAGGAAAGCCGCGGGGCTTTAAGATCCCACCAAGCCCATATTTTCCTCCAAAGAATGCTTGCCACCGAACAAGAGAAGAAACAATGGTCCAAAGTTTCAACACCTTTGCCGCAAAAGATGCACTCCAAAGATTATCAAAGGATTCCGTTCTTCGAACAAGAATTCTTTTCTTTTTTTGGTCCAAAATCAGTTCTTACGTAACTTTTCTGTTTAAGGATCGTGTAATAGGTGAAACTCCCTTATCAACTTTGGCTATATATGTATATTTTCCTTTTTATTGCATGTTTAACAGAAACAAAACTCGATGCATAATCATATAAGGTATATGGTGAAAAAATATCTGGAAAGTTCTAGACGTTTAATTTACATCGGTTGTTTAGTAACTATCAATCGTATCATATTTTCTTATTTTTGTTTCATTTATTTTGTTGATCAAAAATATAATTTATTATCGGTTTAAATCCTATTATATCCTTTATCAGTCTGTCAAATGTGAAACAACAAACTTTTATGATCTCATCCTAATTGCACCCTAAAATATTAAATATTAATCCACAAACAAGATATGTATTCCACATATTTGAAACCTGAATCGAAGTTCCTATTTTAAGCTGGATTTGAAACCAGAGTTTGTGAAATGTAATCTGATATTTTGTGAGTGATGTTATATGTATTATTATATAAGTCAAAATCAAATTAAATCGTACATTAAAAATATAAGGTACGGTTTTGAATGTTGATGTATGTAAATAGATATTAATATATAAGAATAATGAGAAGTGAAGGGTGTATTAAATTTTAACCTGAATATGTTGAAATTGTATCTTTGATCCATGTACCTCATCTTCGTTGGGAATTTTAAATGGGCCTTTTGGTGGGTAGCAAGTCATTGGGCCGATGGGCCCTGACTAATAGTTTTGAAGTTCCACTTTTCCATTTTTAACAAAAAAAAAATATATATAATTTATCTTTAAAAGAAAATACTACCAACTTAAATAGTTTTATGAATTAATTTTTTTAATTAAAATAATTTATAAAATTATCATTCCGGGTTAAGTAAAGACTTTGTATTCAGTAGGAGTATCTCTAACAGATTTTATAAAATAGAAAAAATGGAAGTTTTGTTATCTATTTTGTTTGTAAAATAGAGAAACAAGGGAAAATCCAAGTTTAGAGAGGAATGATTCATTCGCACTTATGAGATTAGACTATTATTATCTTTAAAAAGTGCACTGAGAACCACAAGGGTGGTGCCTGATTGGTTCGAGCTTGGCTCCAAAAGTCAAAAGTACCAGAAGTTCCTAGGTTCGAATCCAAGGATGAACAAAAATTATCTTGTGGTCACGGAGGTTCAAATGCGGTGACTCCGGGCTATTTGCAAAGCAGGTGGTCGTTACAGGATTAGTCGGCTCGCATTGTAGGTTGGATATCCAGGTTAATAAAAAAATGCATTGAGATGATAAAACAATAAAATATTTTAGTAATACAATTACTGATGAAATTTTTAAATAGAAAATCTATTGGAGTTGTATTTAATTTTGTTTAGAGGTTTTGACTTTTAGTTCTCCATTTTTTAGAAATTATAGAGAACAGGTTGGAGATACTCTAATACAATAAAAGTATCCTAAAAATTTGTTCAAATGCCTTAAAGCTTTCTATCAACTTATTGTAACATTTTTCACGTAAGACGCATAATTGTTTGGATCTATCAACTTAAATCCTTTAAAAGAGTCTACACATTTAAGGATTGTTTTTTACCTCTTAATAGTTCATTTGGCAAAAAAAAAATTTGTCTCTTAATGGTTCTAAAACCATCTAAATGATTTTGTATCTTGGGCCTCCCTTACCCATTAAGAGCCCTAATTTCATTGTAAACAATTACCAAACAATTATATTTCATTTTGTACTATATCATGAGAGCCTCTTAATTATTCGGACCACTTAATGATTATGTAC